TCCACACAGTTGAATGCCTTTGCATAGTCAATAAAACACAGGTAAACATCTTTCTGGTATTCTCTGCTTTCAGCCAGGATCCATCTGACATCAGCAACGGTATCCCTGGTTCCACGTCCTCTTCTGAATCTGGCCCGAATTTCTGGCAGTTTGCTGTTGATATACTGCTGCAGCCTCTTTTGAATGATCTTCAGCAAAATTTTACTTGCATGTGATATTAATGATATTGCTTGATAATTTCTGCATTTGGTTGGATCACCTTTCTTGGGAATAGGCAATCCTGGTTAGTAGTTATATAATTTAAATGATTATTTTGATATCTTTGGAGACCATATATCCGATAAGAATCTAATAACCAAAATATATGTAAAACTTTGACAACTGAACAGCAAAAACACAAATAACCCAATCACAAAATGGACAAGAGGACATTCGGATGGCTACCAGACACATGAAAAGATTCTCAGCATCGTTAGCCATCCAAACTCACTGCCATCGAGTTGAATCCAAAACATAGCAACGCTATAGGACAGAGTAGAACTGCCTATAAGGTTTCCAAGGCTGTCAATCTTTCCCTCGGAGTGGCTGGTGGGTTCAAATCAATGACCTTTTGGTTAGCAGAGGAGCACTTTAATCACTGCATCATCAGGCTCCTCATTAGCCATCAGAGAGATGCAAATCAAAACCACAATGAAACACCATTTCACTCCCACTAGGATGGCTAAGATAAGAACAAACAGAAAATAACAAAAGTTGGTGAGGATGTGGGGAAATTGGAACCCTTATCCATTGCTGGTGGAAATGTGTAAAAATGGTGTGGCCTGGTTTTCTGACCTTGTCATCTAACTTCAAAGGGGAGAGGAGAATCATTATCAGCAACAACAGCCCAAGGCTGATTGCTATGAGGCGGAGGTCAGGCATGCCTCCACCCTCCAAACTTTTTACCAGTTCTGACATCACCTGTCGCTCCCGCAGCATTCTCTACTTCTCTAATGGGTTCAATAATTCATTGTAATGGCCACATATAACTCACAGACCATAATCACAGTTATGGGATTTATTAAGGAAGTGACAGGTTACAATCTGGGATCAGGAAACACTCAGGATACAGTTCTTGGATCAGCACAGCCTCTTCTTAGCCATGCTCACAGGCAGGCCTCTTTCTGGCCCTTGGCCTCTTGGTCCCTCAGCCCAGCCTCTGCCCTGCTCAAGCAAGTGTTATAAAGCTCTTTAGCTCCACCAATAAGTGCCTAGGGACACCCTACTCCACTGGGAAGCTTCAGCCCGAAGATGCTCAGCTGTCTCACTGCATGGTCTGGGAAGCCCACACATCGTCTCTTGCTGGTCTCCTGGTTCTGCTGCCTCTGCTGCCACTGCTTCTTGTTCTCGCTATTGCTACACCAATGTGATCGTTAAGGTTATGTGTTAACTTAGATGGGCCATGATTCTCAGTGGTTTGGCAGTTATGATGTAGTTTGGCACTCATATGATGATGTGATCACTTCCTTGATGAGATTTGATATAATGTGATCACCTCCATGATGGGATCTGCTGTGAGTAGCCAATCAGTCGAAAGGGAGTTTCCTTGGGGGTGTGGCCTGCATCGAATATATTAGTGGACTTTCTGGCAAGACTCATGGGCTTTCGCTTGCTCTGAATCCTGCAGTTGGCTCCTGTTCATCTGACCTCTGGTTTTTGCGACTTGAGCTAGCAGCTTACCTGCCATCTTGCTTGCCAGTCTTGGGACTCATTGATCTTCGCAGTCTGGGAGCAAGAGCCCTGCTGTCTGACCTGCCAGTCTTGGGTTTGCCAGCCCCTGCAGCTATGTGAATCAGAAGAAGCCTCTATCCTGACCTGGGACTTTCCAGCATCTACAACCACGTGAGCCATTTCCTTGATATAAATCTCTCTATATATGTATTTATATGCTTGTCATGGATTGAATTATGTCCCCCAAAAATTATCTGTCAACTTGGCTAGGCCATGATTCCCAGTATTGTGTGATCATCCACCATTTTGTCATCTGATGTGATTTTCCTAAGTGTTGTAAATCCTACCTCTATGATGTTAATGAGGTGGGATTATTGGCAGTAGTGTTAATGAGGCAGGACTCAATCTACAGCATTAAGTTGTGTCTCAAGTCAATCTCTTTTGAGATATAAAAGAGAGACATGGCAACCTTATACCACCATGAAAGCAGCCCCAGAAGCAGAGTGTGTCCTTTGGACCCGAGGTTCCTGTGCTGAGAAGCTCCTAGACCAGGGGAAGACTGATGACAAGGACCTTCCCCCAGAGCTGATGGAGAGAGAAAGATTTTCCCCAAATAAATACACCTTATTTGCATGATCTAACCCCTACAAGGGTGCCATGCACCTTATTTGCATTATTAGCAAGCTGTCTAATCTCCTTGGTGGGCCACAAGTTTCTTATTTGCATAGTCACACCCAGTCATTTGGTGGGAGTTACAAAGACTATGGCTAGAAGGGCCATATTAAGTAATTGACTGCACTGCAGAATGCAAAATAGTACAGCCATTGCAGAAAATAGTGTGCTGGTTCCTCAAAAAACTAAAAA